GGCAATGAGGGCGTTTTCATTGCCAATAATGGCAATGATCAATACCTTTGAAAAGACAGTGTAATCCTAACATAATAAAGATTAACATTTTAGGTGTAATTGCTGTCGTAAAAACCTACGAGTTATGATGTAAGAGTGTGTCTGTAGATGTATGTGTGCGAGAGGGAGTGTGCGAGCGTGTGTGTGTGTGTGTGTGTGTGTGTGTGTGTTTTCTTGAGGGGTCTGCTAATTTTCTCGTCGCCTTGGCCTCCCCTCACAGAAGATGAAAACTGGCGGGATGGGCGATGGCCATTCATCACAGTCCTTCCGCCACGCCCCGCCACGCCCCCCGGCCGCTGGTGACGCCATTCATCACCACCATTCAGGATCAAATTGAAAGGAATAAGAGTGTCCTTAGACAAACGCGCCGATCATCGGGGTGGGGTGCCTTCATCATGATGCATCACCCGGGGGTGGGAAGCCTTTTCAAAACAGATTAGCAGGATCATCACGCGGAGGCACGAGATGTCGAGAGATTGTCCAATTTGTGCGTCATTTCCGTGCGGCAAACAACGCAGATAGGCGACGTCATCCCCCACCCCCACCCCACATTCTTGACCTGCATCTTGCGCTGCCCACACAGTAAAGCCATGTCTGTTTTTAGAGGGGGAAAAGGGAAAATTTTGAGAAGCTCCCAATTTGAGGAATACTCAAACTTTGAGGAGGTCCCCACTTTCTTTGAGGAGACTTCCTTAAAATCTGATGTAGTTTTCCTCAAACTAAAGAAGTTACTCAAAGTTTTCCCCTTTTTCTGAAAAAAATCAGCCATTGTTTTTTACCGTGGACCCCCGTCCGCCCACGCTGGTGAAGGGCCGCACTGATAGCCCCTTCAGATCCTGCTCCCCTGTCCGCCCCCCTGCAGGATAGTGTCGTGGCCGGGGCCGCGCCGCCCGATCAAGGGGCTGCTAAATCTTTCATACGCAACACTTTCAGCCACCGTAACAAAAAGGTATTGCTGCATAGCATCACAATGTACGACACACCACGAGTTGTAGAGTAACAAGTTTATCGCAAAACAAAGACACAAACAAAAACAAGTTTTCGATCTGTTTTCGTGCAGGCGACGGAGGTAGCAGAGCAGATGCACCGCGTGATCCCGGTCAGCTGGGATTCGGCCCTGCTGGCCGATATGGCCCGTGGCGTTTCTGTTTCTGCAGTGGGGGTCCGCCTGTCCGGAGTCCCCCGGCGGCCGGCACTGCGGAGAGCGACTTGACCCCCTCCCTCCCCCACAAAGCCACCCCGAACCCAAACTTCTTTGGCGTTTCCTGCAGCAAACGCCACCGCGCTACACCTCCCCTGGAGAGCGATACGTTCTGGCGGCCCCGACCGACCCGCTCCGGGACAGCACAGCGCGGCGCGGCATAGCGCAAGGCTCAAGGGCTCAAGGTGTAAATATCACGTTCAATGGCGTCATTGGAAACCACGAAACAATATTTCTTTAAACAAAACAAATATATAATATACATAGACACGTCCTTGTGAGAGAGAGAGAGTGCTTTATGAAAAACTACAGACAATGGCGCACGAAACTTTTCTACGTTTCGCCCAGTAATTACAACAAAAGTCCTTACCGAAAACGCAATTGCAGTCGTGGCAGACACAGTACAAACTTTCTTCCCCCCCGCTTTCTCTCTCTCTCTCTCTCTCTCTCTCTCTCTCTCTCTCTCTCTCT